GGAGACGCCAGGGTACTGTATGTCCGGAATCACATCTTTTACAGACGGAACCAGATCACGGATTTTATGTAATGTGTTGAATCGGACCTGGAATTTGTGTTTTTTCAAGATTTTTGAGATCTTTTTTGTGATCCCCGCAATGTAGGGTAAAGTGATGGTTTTGAATGGCTCCTCAAGAGGGTCATTCTTTATGGTTGGAGTGATAGCTTTGCGGATTGTGTAGTCGGAGTAACCATTAGCCTTAAGAGCTTGGTGTACGTGCTTGAGTTCACTGGCTATGTGTTCCTGGTCGGATATGCATTGGGCTCTATGGTGCAGAGTCTTGATGAGGGAATTCTTCTGGGATGGATGGTGGTGGGAATCCGGTTTCAGGTAAGCATCCGTATGGGTAGCTTTCCTGTAGACAGAGTGGCTCATTGAACCATCAGGTCTCTTTTTTAATAGGACATCCAAATAAGGTAGCTTGCCATTTTTTTCGACTTCCATGGTAAATCTGATAGCTGGGTGTATGGAATTGATGTGGTCGAGGAATTGGTCTAGAGCAGGCCGGCCATGTGGCCAGATGACAAAAGTGTCATCCACGTACCTCTTCCATAAGGTTGAGCGCAGAGTGGCAGTCTGGATGGCGTCAGTCTCAAATTTCTCCATGAAAATGTTGGCTACAATCGGAGATTGGGGGGAGCCCATTGGGGTCTTTTGTTGGAGAGGAGGTTAAATTTGGAAATCAGGTTGTCCTTACATTTGGTCGACATAGTGGCAGCTCCCAATCCGATGTCGACATTGTTGCCGTCAATGATAAGTGTGATTTGTAGTGTGTCTTGTCTAACTGATCTAGTTCGGTGCGTATAAGTCTGATTTTCTCTGAGATAAGAGATAAGCTAGTTCTGGAAAGAATTCGTTTCGCATTAGAAGAAGTTACAGCAGCAGAGGTCAGTGTAAATGCGATTGGTATCACCCCAGAGTCGCGGCATCTCTTCAGAAAGGTGAGAGACTTGATCAGCTGAGCCTTCTTATCCCGGAGTTTATTGAATGATCTCAAAGTTATGTGAAAACCCTCCCCGAAGAGGCGGTTAAATTTTGATTTAAAGCTTTTGTGACTGCAGGGATTCATATTCTTGGTTCTTTCGGTAAAGTCACGTAGAAGGGAAACAATGAAATAATAAAAATATAAAACAATAAAATTCTCACGACGTTTCGACTGCAACACAAGCAATCACCATCAGGTGTGAAAACTACAGCAAGAAATGTTTTAAAAAGTGGCGGTTTTTTTTAACGTTAGCACCACGGAGAGCGATTTGCTGTGGATTTCACACCTGATGATGATTGCTTGTAGAAACGTCGTGAGAATTTTCTTTTTTATATTTTTATTATTTTATTGGTTCCCTTCTACGTGACTTTACCGAAAGAACCAAGAATATGAATCCCTGCAGTCCAGAAAGCTTTAAATCAAAACGCAACATTTTATTTACGTGCGTCAATTTAAAATGAGATAAACGTTCAGTTGTAGGTCTCAACGGTGTTTTTCTTCTTATTTTTCTTCTTGGGAACCGCGATGTAAATCGAGTAAGATCTTTAACAACCATCCCAAGCCAGAGTGTCTCCTACCGCTCGCTGCGTCTCACTCATTCTGCGTCTGCTTTCTGCCACATGAACCGCTCGAAGATGTTTCATGGCGCCGTCAAGATGCGCCGGGAAGGTTTGACGCATCCCGAACTTGTGCCCAGCGTCAACATGATTGTTGTACGAGACGAAGGCGAAGACCCTCCCGTATAAATTTTTACAGACGGTTGGGGAAAGTGCTATTCGCGAGCACCTATGAAGGGAGGCACTGTGGCACACGAGCGGGATGGAGTGGCCAGTAACCACTCCCGGTCGCATTTTGTCTCTCCAGCGCTGATGTCTCTCCGGTGCTTATGGTTACACAATCCAGCACGAGACTTGCCATATATCACAGCATCCACTTGTCTACACTGCGAATTTTCTGTTCCCCCTGTGAAGCCACACTGCAGGGCGCCCGCCAACCTGGGCCACGCGAAGACAGGGAGCTTTGCAGAAGCTCCAACGGCTTCGGATGAAAAATATCTCGACCTTTACAAATTAAAGGTCGTTTCCCCCAATTACCCTCCAATTACGTAGCAGATTTATTTTTACGTATATATTTTTTTAAAATTAGTGCAATGTTTGTGTCTTTGGCCGCCTGCCAGGCCTGACTGCTGCTATATACAACGTGCAGGTCGAGATATTTTCAGGCAGACACCACGCTTTGTTGAATGGTCCATAGTTTGGGTTGCATGGCCACAGCCGCACCACTGTGGCTCGTGTCTTTAAGGCATCTCTGTGCGTCTCTATGAGCGTGCAAATCTCTCAGTCTCTGTCTCTATGAGTTTACTACGTGGTCCAAAGTCTGGCTTGCATGGCCACAGCCACACCATTGTGACCCGTGTCTTTAAGGCATATCTGTGTGTCTCTATGAGCATGCATCTCTCTGCGTTTCTATGCGTCTCTCTGCGTCTCTATGTGTCTCTATGCGTCTCTATGCGTCTCTATGGGTTTATTGGGTGGTCCAAAGTTTGGCTTGCATGGCCACAGCCACACCATTGTGACCCGTGTCTTTAAGGCATATCTGTGTGTCTCTATGAGCATGCATCTCTCTGCGTCTCTATGTGTCTCTATGCGTCTCTATGGGTTTATTGTGCGGTCCAAAGTTTGGCTTGCATGGCCACAGTCGGGCCACTGTGGCTCGTGTCTTTAATTTTCCACTCACGAAGGAGATGCCGTGCAATCGGCCTGTTGGTAATGTCCTGACGCGGTTTGACGGTTGCAGCAGTGACTTCGAGGAGGAGGAGGAGGAGGAGGGCGAGAAGTCTCCTTTGTCAATCACACAATCAGGCCACAGTGGCATCGACGAATGTGTTGATGTTCGCATGATGGAGGGAGGTATCATAAATCTCTCGGCCCGCGTCCACGAGTTTGCAGGTGGGGCGACAAAAGGAGCGGCGAATTAACTAACATTTTTTTAAATTAATTTTTATTTTACCAGGTAAGGCCTCACTGAGCTAAATAGCTTTTTTTCAGAAGCGACCTGGCCACGAATGATAGCTCAATGAAGTGGCCTATCGTGTGGGCATTTATTGCAGCCAAGCTACTCGAAAGGCGTGACGTTGATTCTAAATATGGAGTGGAAAAAACCAGGAGAACCCGGAGAAAAATCCACGCGACCATGGGAAAAGAGAGAGAGAGAGAGACAGAGACACGCAAACTCCAAATATACAGCAGCAGGCGCCAGGGTGGGGATCGAACCCACGACCTCCTGCATACCAGGCGAGGTATTTGACATCTCCTAACCACCGTGATGATGATGATGATGAGAGAGAGACACCGCAAACTCCAAATATACAGCAGCAGGCGTCAGGGTCGGGATCGAACCCACGACCTCCTGCATACCAGGCGAGCTATTTGACATCTCGCCCCAATTAGAGTTTGCCCAAGTCCACCCCGTCAGTCTGCGCCGGGGCTGGAGTGGAAATTTCCACCTCCGGCAATAATTAGCGGCGGGAATCTGGAGTTTGTGTGCGGCACCGCATGCGGCTACACCCGCCACATTCGTGAATCGCTTCAGAATTATAATATAAATGTAATTAAAAAAGGAAATTTGTGCTACTATTAAACAACAACAGGAAGTTAAAAAGTGTGAACAGCACGCAGGCTTCGTGCACGTGCCAATGACCCCCCACTCCCCCCCCCCCACGGCATTTTTTTTTTTATCTGAGGTCCCCGTCCAAATACATTTGAGCCAATGCGACTGACTGACAGCAGCAGTCAATGTGCGTATGTCACGCTGAGCGTCTTTCACGCCGTACGTAGCCGACTTGCGCGACACGGGAGCAGTGATGCAGTCAGTGATGGACAACTGTGCACCGGTGCTCGCCCTCACGAAGACTCATCAGCGCGGCATGGTCACCCAATGGTTACCGTTGCTAAGTCTGCCTGCGATATGAAGTGTCCCCCCCCCTTCCCATGTGGCTATGAGCCTCATTAGCTTCGGCTATTGTCACCAAATTACCGCACCTCCGATCGGCACGGTTTGGCTACGAACGGCGCGCAAGAAGTCCAACATACGGTACGCACGTACACTAATCACAAGTGTGAGTGACTAGGGACAACAATCGTCGTAATGATCTTAACAGAACAGCAACGCAGGCGGGCAAAGCAAAGTTTCGACCAACGCACACAGGATTAGTCGGGGAGCACACGAGCCTTTGCGCATTTTGCATCATCGGCGAAATGCGCAAATAAAACCATCAGCAGTGTATTCCTGAACCTTACAATTTTGTTCAAAATGCACACATTTTGACGATGACCTACGGCGCAGAGGAGGATCACGGGAAAACAATGCCCGCAGAGTGCGGCGTCCGCGAGTGCGTTGCATCCACAGGACGATTCAACGCACTAATAAATCACACGCAGCAGTAACAACAGCAGCAGCAACAGCAGCAAAAGCAGCAGCAACAGAAGCAGCAAAAGCAGCAGCAGCAACAGAAGCAGCAGCAACAGCAGCAGCAAAAGCAGCAGCAACAGCAGCAGCAATAGCAGCAGCAGCAACAGCATCAGCAACGACTGCAAACGGACGACGGACATTGTTTGAACACGAGTGAATCTTAACAAATACGCCTACTCTATATCAACGCCACCGCCGCCGCCAGCTCAAAGCCCTCCTCCTTTCGTTTGTTTTTGGAGAAGAGAAATGTTGGTTGTGGATTCGTTTGCTTGCCGTGGCGTTGCGCTCTTAGGCGAAGTCCACGGTGAGCGCAGGGCGAGGGCAGCGTTTGAATTCGCCGTGTTGCCGTTGGCACCCGGACACATTTTTCAAATGGCACAAAGGCAAAGATCCCCCTTCCCCGTGTAGCCTTTAACAGACTGTTCGGGCAAGTGTTGTCAGCGAGCACCTCTTTGAAGGCCGGCACGGCACACAACGGGGGGGGGGGGTGGGGGGTGGCCAACACCATACACCCGTCTTTTTTTGCCCAGTGGCGATGTGTACACACCGTTACCGGGTGCTCATTGTGAGGTCACCGGTGTTTGGCCGTGAGCGCGGAATCGAACTCTCGGTTCTCCGTGGGTTTCGTAGCGCAGCGCGCTAACCGCTACGCCACCGCTCCACGCGCTTCCCCCCGCGCGCTCAGCCGCGCCGACTCGACTGCTCCATGGGCTCGCCTGAGACCCCGGGACACATCACGAGTGTGGGGGGCAGGAGCAGGCAGGGGGGGGGGGGTTCCTTGAGCTCCCCCGCCCCCTCGTGGCCAAATCTAAGAGCTGCCCCCCCCCCCCCCCGTTGACAACCACCGTGAGATCTGCTTTCAACAACGGCAGCGTAAAAGAACGGCAACAACACTTTAAAAAAAAAACGCGGTTTACATTTATTGTTTATGAAAATGCTTTTATTTAGTAGTAGTGGTCGTGGTGGTAGTGGCTGCATTTTGCGAAGACGGAGCGTCCCTTGCAGCGTTAAATGTTCGAGGCCGTAAGCGTAACGATGTCATTAGATAAGAGGAGACGCGATCCATAATAGCATCGAGGTGCGACCGGGCACATTGGGACCCCACCTGACCGATTGCCGCACCCCCTGAGCTAACAATATTAGTTACGCCACTGCACATCACGATTGCTATTGTTGTTGTTGTTGTGATTACGCTCGTTTTACCCATGTACGTATTGTGTACGTCGAACTTCTTTCGTACCGTACGTAGCCAACCGCGCTCATCGGAGGTGCGGTGGAAGGCCTCCTCGAGTTCTCAAATACAGGTAATTTCTTTCGGAGCTTCCTGTCAAGTTGTCGCAGTAGGGTTGGTGGTGGGGGGGGGATAGGCGATTTTGCTGCTACTGCGATGTTTCTGCGTGTGATCCGTGATCCCAGTTGAGCCACGCGTACAGGTGAGAGAGAGAGAGAGAGGCGGGCCACAGCAGCGTTAATGATGCGAGAGGGCCGCTTCAGACGCGACTCGATTATTACCAGCGCGGCCCGGTGGGTCGTGGGCAGGACGCGTCGCTGGCAACGTAGGGATGGAATAAACGAGGGCTCGCCGACTCTCGAGACTTAATTATAAAAGAAAAATAAGAATATGTTGTTACCCTTGTTGGGCAATGAAACATTGCGTTAAGAAGCTCAAGCACCAAATATAAACCTGTCACGCGGAAATCAAGTACTGCATTAACCGCTCACGCTTACCTGCGGTTAACATGCAAACAAACATGCTCTGATAGTCATCCATGCATTGTCTTTGCAACTGATTGGCCTACACAAGAGACAGCCTTCAAAGGCAATGCATACAAAATTATCAGAGGACGTTTGTTTTGCAAGTTCGCCACATGTACGTGTGGTTAATGCAGACTTGATTCCGCGCAAAGGGAATCCATTTTGCGTTTGAACATTTTGACACCTCCTGTTTGATTGCCAGAAAGGGTCAAATCTATTCTGAGTTTTCATACTTTGATACTGGCAAAAAAGGCCCCATGATAAGACTTAATTATTAAGGGTAGCTCACAACCACGAGAACACGTGCGTCGGGGAGATGGAGCGATGGAATCGGCACGTGCCAGGCGGACTGTTAATTTGCATCGCGTGAGGAATCGCGAGAGATGTCGGCGGTGTTGCGGAGAGGCCTCGGTCCAACAGTGGATTGACCCTGTCTGCTTTGTCCTTCCAGTTGTCGCAGGGTTTGTTCCGTGACCCCCGGGGTCAGGCGGGCAGTGAAGCTCCGCCTTAGGGTTTCGCCATTGCGGGCGACGCGAGCAGGTAAATGAATGCATTGATTACAGTGCAGTGGTGAGTGGTGGAGGGTGATGGGAGGGGTGGGAGCGGAGTCAGGCGATGTTCAATGCACGAGTGGAAACAGCTGGACTGCCTCCCAGCCAGATCCGATCTCCCGGTGGGCCGCGCGGATTTGGTCGATCGGAAAACCCTCGAGTGGAGCTCGACGCCGAAGTGGAACATTGAGCCGGGATACGTCAGGATCCTCGATCGCGTGCTTCGGCAGTGGCGCGCTCTCGTTTGACCTTCGGACACGGTCAGCCATAATAGAGGGGTTTTTTGGGGGTTAGATCGCGTAGATATATAAATGCGTCGTTAAAACCCGCCAACCACCCGACACAGACGACTAGTAAGGGTTGTCACGTAAACAGAACGTGGACAATTCGTCACGTACAGCAACACCGATTGTGTGTTGGAGAGCCAAGCCACAACATTTATAATCCGAGTACGACGTTTCGCCAGTAATTACAACTAGCTTCATCAGGCGACAGCCAGATTTGTGGACGAGTCCACCTGTTTCGTTCCTTATATCGAGGCGTAGATGTGGTGACCACACTTCTGCGGTCTTGCGCAACGTGGAGGGAGGGAGGGGGGTTAATAAGTCAACGTACTTTACGGTCAGCCAGTGTGCACATCGCACCAGTGAATCGAGAGCGTCGTCATCATTAGTGAACCTTACGGTGTCAGCTTTCCCCATAAACAGGGGGTCTGGACTCAACCGGGTCAAGGGCGCCGCGCGGGGCGCCGCGGTGGTGAGATGTTAACTACCTCGCCTGGTATGCAGGGAAGTCGTGGCTTCGATCCCGACCCTGACGATGCCTGTATACTTGGAGTTTGCACTTTCTCTCCACCGGCCGCGTGGATTTTTCTCCGGCTCCTCCGTTTCCTCCCCCACCCCCTTCCACATTTAGAGACACGTGTTTCGAGTATTTGGCTGCTATACATTTCCACATGATAATCCACTACTTTGAGCTATCATTTGTTGACCAGGTCGCTTCTGAAAACAGAGCTATATAGCTCAGTGGACCTTACCTGCTAAAATCAACAATTAAAATAGTTTTTTTACATTCTTGGTTCTTACGGTAAAGTCACGTAGAAGGGAAACAATAAAATAATACAAATCTAAAACAATAAAATCATCACGACGTTTAAATCAAAATTAAAAATAGTTCATGTATTTATTTATTTATTTTATAGATGCGACTGTCTCACCCTACACCACTGGACAACAATTCAAGTCTCGAATCGCAGTGCGAGTCTCGAAGTGCGACAACAGGGGTCAACGTTCCATCCAGCAACCTCCTGCCGAGCCGAGGGACGCCCCCTCCCAGACGCCCTCTGCAGGAAGAGACCTTCACGGCAACTTATGTGCCTCGATCCACCAAATGCTCGCTGTTGCTCTCCACAGTGCCGGACTACAGGCGAGCCACGCGTAGTAGCAGTGCAGGCCAACACCAACCAACCACCGCTACCGCCGCCGCCCGATAGTGGTGTGTAAATGCCTTCAACGTCGTTTTCTGTCCGCTTGTTTGTCTGTTGTTTGTTGAAGTACAGAGTTGGCCTGACAACTTTAGTCTCAAATGTCTTATGGTTGTTATTGTTCGACTTGCATCACGCTGGGATTTTTTGCACACAGCGTTGATATACGGTGTTTTTTTTTTCTGGAAGACTTTGCTGTTTTTTTCCCCTGGATTTTTCTGTTGCGCGTAGTCAACTTTTAGATGTTTTTTTTGTTCGTGTTTTTTTTGTTTGGTGCCGTTGCACCCGAGTCAAAAAGCCGCATGGCTCACAGGGCTTTACCTAATAAATGAAACTGAAACTGTCCCCCGAGTTTCAAGACGCTCTCCTCTCTTGCGCTGTCTGTATGTCTCGCTGTAAACACGGCTGCTCACAAGGGGCACCCACACCCCCCTCCTCCTCCTCCTCCTCCATCCTCACACCGTGGCGATGAGCAACTCAGGTAAGGAGGCAACGACGTCATGGGGTCTCCATGGCGACCAGATCACCTGGGTCGATATCGGCGTCGACTCTCGTGTGCATTGGGAGTCTCGTGCGAGGCGGGGTGAAGCAGCGCGCTCTCTCGCTCTCCCAATTCGTGAGCAGAAATGACACGTTTTAATTGTGATTGGATATCAAAGCGCACTGCGTCTCACCGACGCTTTTCATCTTACATCTTATATTGTCCATAATGCAGGGTTTTGTTTGGGGGGTTAGATCGCGTTAATGTTTAAATGTGTCGTTAAACCTGTCACCACCCCACACGGCCAATTAGTAAGGTGTGTCGCATTAAACAGAACTTGCCAATTCGTTGCTAGGTGGTGGCGGGTTTAACGACACATTTATATCTTTACGTGATATAACCCCCCCAAAAAACACGTATTATGGATTATATTGTTCGCGAAAGCCTACGTGTTAATCTTAAACTCTATTTAATAATAATATAGATTTAATTCGCGCCTTGGAGTGAGGCGCTCTTGCTCCCACGTGTTTGCAAGTTTTCGATGGCCGTCTGGAACGCCCTTTCCTCCGCTATCAGGAAGCCGCTGGAGCCGTACACTTTTAAATCGTGCAGATTGAAAATCTGGCATTTGTTTAAGAACTGCTTTTTAATTGGACTCTTAGTCTGTTGTCCTTCTCCCACGTGCGCACCTCCGATGAGCGCGGTTGGCCACGTGCCTTACGAAATAAGTTACACACAAAGACAAAGATCCCCCGTGTAGCCTTAACAGACTGTAGGGGCAAGTGCTGTTAGCGAGCACCTATGAAGGCCGGAACGGTACACGAGGGGATGGGTGGCCAGCACCACGCCCGACCGCAATTTGTCTCCCTAGTGGCAATGTTTACACACCGCACCAGGTACTCATTTGAGGCTGAGTCGACCTAGGGGAGGCCCGGGACCGGTTCAGATAATCGTCACTGGTGTTGGCCGTGAGCGGGAATCGAACCCGGGTCGCCAGGTTAATAGCGCAGCGCGCTAACCGCTACACTATCGCTCCCCACACACGCACGCACGTACACACACACGCACGCGCGCGCGCACACACGCACACACGGCATAACGTAGCGCTTACGTGCGCCTGTACCGAACTCTTTACAGATTACACCGGAGATGCTTTTGTTTCGTTGACTCGCGCGCGCGTTTCGTTTGCGATCGTTAAATGTCTCTCGCTCTCATTAGCCGGGCAATGTCCCCGAAGGATCCAGCACCGCATTTTCGACGTTTGTTGTTGTTGTTGTCGTCTGTTGTTCTTGTTGTTTGTCGCTGCCGCTGTGGTCGTTGTGGTTGCTGCTGCTACTGCTGTGCTCCCGCACCACAACGGCTCCTTCCCCGCGTCAAATATCCGTGCGAGTGTGGCTCAACGTGGGCCACATCACCCGCGTAACGAATCAAACAAACTTGAAAAAAAACAACCACCGGAACACGTGGGTGGTGAGGACGATATATTCCTCCAAACGACACCACCACCACCGTCGTCATCATCGTCATCTCGGCGACAAGTTGGGGCGGGACAAACAGCGGCACATCCTTGGCTGCAGATCCGTGCCCCCCCCCCCCCCTCATCACGTGCAACCTTCGTCCTAAATAGCCCCGCTCGTGCACGCGGTCACCGGAGCAGCGGACGGGCGCGACGCGTCCAGGGCCCCGTGGCGCGGGGCGGGGGTGGCAGGTCCCTCGCTCTTCGCGGGTTCGGTTTGTGCAATTCCGCGCTTCACCCCGTTTCCACCCAAACATTCCCTCGATCGTGCGGTTTGAAATTCACTCCGATGCGGATATGCGGTCGGACGCGGAGCAGCGCTGTGTACTGCGTGTGTGCCGTATGCGTTGTGTGTGTTTATATACTGTGCGGAATCTTGATTTTAAAGCTTTCGTGACTGCAGGCATCCATACTCTTTGATTCTTTCGGTAAAGTCACGTGGGTAGAGTCACGTTTCACCATTGGAGGCTCACGAGCCGGTCTTTTCCATCACACGCGAGAAGTGGTGACGGAGTGCCCCCTGGCGGTTTGTGAGTAGAGGACGGGCTGGTGAATTGCAAGACGTCGAGTGAATACCGAAGGAAGCAAGGCTCAATGTGTGATGGGTGGGACACTGGTTGGGGCAGTCATCAGCATCATCACGCTCCATTGGACCGTCTAGCCCGTAGGAGGCGTCCACTGCAACATTTTGTCATTCAAACTTTTCTCTCCGACTTGCGGTGCCAATATGCTCAAGTATTTTGGCCACATCTCTTCTCTGGCACCAATCTCTTGTGTGTCGTCAAGCCATTCTACGTGGATTGGATGACTTTGGTTTTTTTGTCTTCCTTACGGCCGAAGTATTCAGAAACCCTCTCGCCCGACCCTCCCTCCTCCTTGTCATCCCAGGCTTGGGACTGGCACAGCGAGCCACTGGATTGTGGATACCCGCAGGTGCCGGAGTCCTGCTATGGGAAGACTCGTGTTCTTCTCGTCCGTCAGAGGGCAGTGTTACACTGCAGTTTCTTCATTTGCCAAGGCACCGCCTTTACACTACAGCTTGGGAGAGAGAGAGAGAAACAGAGAGTTGCTCAGATGGTTAGCTTTCCATCGGTAGCGAATGGTTGGAAATGTAATGGTTACTCAAAAAATAAGAATACTAAGAGGGAGTAAGTTTTGTAAGTTTGAGCGGAAGAGGCAGAGGTTTCGGCAATTGAAAGCTGACGAGCATTGGGCGGAAAAGCGGCAAACTTTTGTAGGGAAATAAAAATCCTCCTCCTGAGCCGTAAAATGTATTTTTTTTTCTTTTCACGGTGAAAAAAGAGTGAGCGAATTGGTGACAACTTTCGAAATGTGAGCGCGCGTGGCCGAGTAGGGTTTCTGACCAACGCCCTCGTGTGAGCTTGCTCGAGAAAGCTCTGTAACACTAGCTAGTTGTGCGCCACGGTGGCTAGGAGATGTTAACTACTTCGCCTGGTATACAGGAGACCGGTGGTTCGATCCCGACCATGGCACCTGCTGTATATTTGGAGTTTTCATGTCTCTCTTCCCGTGGTCGCGTGGATTTTTCTCCGGGTCCTACGGGGTTTTCCCCCTCCACATTTAGAAACACGTGTTTAGATTGTTTGCTGCTTATACATTTCCACACGATAAGCCACTTTCGTTGAGCTACCATTTGTGGCCAGATCGCTTCTGAAAAAAGAGCTGCATAAGTCAGTGGACCTTACCTGGTAAAATAAGATAGTTTAGTTTAAATTAAGCCCTGAGTCTTAAGAAAAGTTTAAAGGTTGTCATTATGAGTGTACTGTTCATAAAATCTTGACTTAAAGCTTTCGTGACTGTAGGAATTCATTTTTGTTTTTTTCATACTTAACTTGCAATTTAGCAATCTTTGAAATAGCGTAATCAACCAGACTATGCGTTAATTGTGTTTTGACCGACCGTCTGTGTTGCTTTATATGGTTTCCAAATTTTGCTAAACCCTGTTTGTTTGGTATGCTTCTCTCTCTGTGTCCCCTGTTGTATCTGTGTTAGTTCCCCCCTACTTGGGTGTCTGTATATACATCTGAGGTTATGTGTGTTTCCCCTCTCTCGTAAATTTAGCTCTTCTGTACCTGATGATGGCTGCTTGTGTTGCAACCGAAACGTCGTACGCTATCATGTTATTTTATTATTTCTTATTTATACGTGACCTTACGAAAAAAACAAATAGTAATTCCTGCAGTCACGAAAGCTTCGAATCAAGTCCGCAGGAATTCATATTCTTTGGGTCTTTCGGTAAAGTCACGCAGATAGTTTCGAAGAAAATAACAAAAACTACGACGTTTCGATCATAACACAGGCGGTCGTCGTCATCTTCCTGATCATCTTCCTGATCATCTTCCTGATGACGAACGCTTGTGTTGCGATCGAAATGTCGGAGTTTTTTGTTCTTTTCTTTGAACCTATCTTACGTGATTCATCTTATTTGGTTCTTTCGGTAAAGTCACGTAGAATGAGAATAAAATAATAAATTGATAAAATAAAATAACACAATATCAATGTATTATTTTATTCTCATTCTACGTGACTTTACCGAAAGAATCAAAGAAGATGAATCATTGCAGTCACGAAAGCTTTAAATCGAAATTTATCTTACGTGACTTTGTCGAAAGATACTCTTTGGTTCTATTGGGTAAAGTCACGTAGGTGAAAATAAAATAACAAAAAATCACGACGTTTCGGCCACAACACAAGCGGCCTTCATCAGGTGAAGGGACGAGACTGTCTGGAGGACAGCGCTGGAGTGAGAAAAGCCACGCTTAGATCACGACCTTTAAGCTGTGTGAGAAGAAAACAAATCGCCTTGACAAAGGAATCTAGAATTTGTCGAAAGACCCAAATAATATTCTCATCAAATATTAATGTCGACGCATATGTTTCGTTTTAACATCTTAACTGTGAAACGTCGAGCAATTAATGTAATTAACTGAATAGCAATTTATGTAATGACATTTTGTGCCAAACGCCTAATTTTGTGATTGCAGCAAAAATGTACGCGCGGCGTGATGCCAGGCGTGTGCACGTCACGCGCTACTAAACAACTTCCAAATCAATTTTTATTTAAAGCTTTCGTGACTGCAGGGATTCATATTCTTGGTTCTTTCGGTTAAGTCACGTAGAAGGGAAAAAATAAAATAATAAAAATATAAAAC